CCTATAAAGTTTTCAAAGTGTTCGGAAACTTGACAGACGAGCTCCAGGCTTTTGGAAATTGACCGGATTACTGTATATTTAAACTTGTTCCAGGACTCCAACAGCACGCTGTAATTCATACGGACCAGAAGCCGTTTCGATGTGATATCTGCTCCAAGTCATTTCGATTCAAATCAAATCTCTTCGAGCATCGATCAGTACACACTGGATTCACTCCGCATGCCTGTCCGTACTGCGGAAAAACTTGTCGGTAAGTTTTTCTGGTCTGTTTTAGACTTTCTTAGCCCTTTTTCGGCTTTTTTACCACTTTTTAGCCCTTATTCGACGTTATTCGTCCTTTCTTTTGCCAGATTTGGTTCTGTTTTGTCCTTTGGGCCGCCAAAAAAAGGGAAAAGAGAAAAAACAGCATCAATGTGTGTCACATTGTCTGAAGAGACTAAAAAAACTAGATAAGAATTGGAGAGATAAGGAAACACAAGGGAAAGTTTGCGAAAAAATTTGGTAGAACAAAAAGAGGGGTACTGTAGATTTTTTTTTAAAAGAGAGGTTCAAAAATCATGAAAAATGACTAAAAATCATTGAAAATGGTCCAAAAGGAGCCTGAAAAGATGCTAAATAAATCTCAAAGTTTTCAGTTTTTGGAGCATGGGTATAATGGGGTACTGTAGCTTTTCCTTCAAAAGGGTTACTATACATTTTCCTTTACATTGAGGAAATGTAGCTTTTCCTTCAAAAATGGGATACTGTACCTTTCCCTTAAAAAAGGTATTACTGTAGGCTTTCCTTCCAAATGGGGTACTGTGATTTTTCCTTTAAAAAAAAGTACCATACATTTTGCTACAGAAGAGTTACTGTAGATTTACCTTCTTTCAAGCCCCGCCCCATTTCTTGTAAACTGGTATTTCAGTCTGTAGTATCATGATTCCCCCTTTTTTCTTCTTGAATTTCTTGTTTCCATTTTAATAAATTATGTTGAATTAATAACTTATTTTGGTTATTTCGAAAATTCGGAGATTCGAAATCCTAGGAATTGGAAGCTTCAAAAATACAAAAATCGGAAAAAATTGAAAAATTGCCAAAAAATACAAATATTCAAAAAACCCGATTTTCATTTATTTTAGAATTTCAGAATTTCAAAATTTCCGAATTTTCGTTATCTCTTATGGAAATTGAGATAATACATTCTCAGCTTAATTATCTCGTTTGTAATGAAAGATATCAAAAATCTGTCAGCTGATAAAATATAGGTGATATTATGATAAATATTTTATCAGTTGACCACTTTTTGATATCTTGCATAGGAACTGAGATAATTGAGCTTAAATTTGGCGGTTTGGATAAGCTTCTATTAGAGCGAATACGGTGAAAAAAAAGCTCTTTTACAGTAGGACATACTACAAAAAATCTGAAGAAAAAATTGGCTGTCTTACTTTGACTACTCCTAAAAATAGACTAAATATTCCAGACTCAAAGGAAATCTGAAAAAGCACCTACGGACCCATGTGACATCAAAAGAGGAGCTGGATGCGGCTTGGCGACCGTTTGCCAGGTTTGATATAAATAGAAAGCTCCCTCTACAACCATCCTCTCGATCATTCAGCAATCGACGACCGCCGGCTGACATTCCGGAGGATGCGATTGTTGTCAGAGGAACAGGCGGAGGACCGTACTACACACCACCACCAAAGCATAAGAAGAAGTAAGACGGGTTTTTTGAATTTTGGTTTTTTTAAATCCTGGATATTCATAAGGAATTTCAGCCTATTTCAGCCATTTCTAAGCCAAAAAGCGCCAAATTTCAGTTAATTTTATGCCAGTTTTTTGCTTGATTTTTTGGGAATTTTATTTCAAAAACTTCAAATATTGGAATTCCAATTTTTCCAGGAAGCTCGGCCTTGGAGAGCCAGGAGTATGGATTGAGAAGATCCGGCGAGGAGATCTTCTGCCCCAAGTCGATCTGGACGACAAAATCCGGCGGTTAGAGGACATGATCTTCAACAATTTGTCCCTGGATCGATGGGTGAACCTCTTCGAGGTATCCAAATCGATCGCATTTGAAACGTGAGTATATGCTGAGTTCTAGGTCATGGTGGCCTAACTTTTGCAAATTGATTTTTCTAGGCCACCGTGGTAAATGATCTAGAAAGCCACAAAATGAATATCAGGTCATTTCTAGGCCATTTTTAATAGCGGCCTAAAAAACTCCATTTGAGAAAGTTAGGCCATCATGGTAAATAACCTAGAAATGATCTGATATTCACCTGGTGTGATTTTTAGGCTATTTTACCATGGTGGCCTAAATTTTGCAAGTTGAGCTTTCTAGGCCACTATTGTAGATGGTCTAGTAATGGCTTAGTATTCAGCTGGTGTGATTTCTAAGTCATTTTAGCATGGTGGCATAACTTTGGCGGATTGAGTTTTCTAGGCCACCATGAAAAATGGCCTAGAAATGACCTAACATTCACCAGGTGTGATTTCTAGAACATTTTAGCATGACGGCCTAGAAAATGCAAAATTTAGGCGACCATGATATTTATCTAAACCCATAACTTTCAAATTCCAGCCACGACTGTCCGGTGTGCAAGGTACAATTCATGACCCGGATGGACTGCATGAGCCATTATGCTATTGAGCATGAGAACATCAAGGAGGGACACGACTACTTTTGTGATGTAAGTGTTTTTTTTTTCATGGTGGCCTAACTTTTGCAAGTTGAGCTTTCTAGGCCACCATGGTAAATAGCCTAGAAATCACCTAATATTCGCCTGGGATATTTTCTAGGTTATTATGTTGGTGGCCTAGAAAACTCAATTTGCAAAAGTTAGGTCACCATTCCGAAATCAATTTTTTCAGAAGTGCTTCCGTCCCTTCGCCGACGAAGACAGCTTCAACAAGCACATGGAGTACCATGCGAAGGTGCTTCGGCTCATGGAGGACGGATCCCTTATGGTAAGCTTCTTTTCTCTCTCTCTCTCTCTCTCTCTCTCTCTCTCTCTCTCTCTCTCTCAATTGCTGATTTTCCAGCCAACGCCATCGGATCCAGACATCCTCGTCCCAACAAATGATGAATTCGATATGATCCTGGCTGGATCAATGAACCAACATCCACATCATATGATGGACCAAACGATGATTTAATTAGTTTAATAATTAATTGCCCTAATTAAGATTTTTGAGTTTGAAACAGTTTGATAATTTTTTAAGCACTAGACTAACCAAAAGTTTGAATAAATTTGAGTAACTAATAATTTTTTTCCCCATTTTTCCGACTTTTTTCAATCCTGATCCCCCTCGATCTCGTCATTTTCAAGCCCCGCCCCATTTCTTGTAAACTGGTATTTCAGTATGTAGTATCATGATTCCCCCTTTTTTCTTCTTGAATTTCATGTTTCCATTTTAATAAATTTTGTTGAATTAATAACTTTTTTTGGTTATTTCGAAAATTCGGAGATTCGAAATCCTAGGAATTGGAAGCTTCAAAAATACAAAAATCGGAAAAAATTGAAAAATTGCCAAAAAATATAAATATTCAAAAAACCCGATTTTCATTTATTTTAGAATTTCAGAATTTCAAAATCTCAGAATTTCAGAATCTCAGAATTTCAGAATTTTCGTTATCTCTTATGGAAATTGAGATAATACATTCTCAGCTTAATTATCTCGGTTGTAATGAAAGATATCAAAAATCTGTCAACTGATAAAATATAGGTGATATTATGATAAATATTTTACCAGTTGACACATTTTTAATATCTGTCATATGAACCAAGATATATCGATTCTAATTTAGGCGTATTTTCATTATATTTTAGTCCACCTAATACTTCCTTTTGGAGCTCAATTATCTCAATTGCTTTGAAAGATAATAAAAATATGTCAACTGATAAAATGTGTGTCATAATATCACCAATATTTTATCAGTTGACACATCTTTGATATCTTTCACAGAAAATGAGATATATGGTCTTAAAGTTGTATGTTTGAGTGGCCTTCTATTAGAGTGTTTACAGTATATTGAATTTATTGTGACCTCCGTGGAAGCACAAAAAAAATTCTGGCAAGCACCAAGCTTCAAAGAAATAAGCAAAAATCAGTACTTAGTTTGCAACATTCAAGTTGCAGGATCGGCTAGGTGTCTGCGGATGCAACAACTTTCAGGAATTCGGAGACAACTACAAGGGAGGTTTCCAAAAGGGCAGTTTCCACGCTTTCGATCCAGTTGCCAGAGGTAGGAATGGTTTTTAATTCAAAGTTCTAGTTTTGAAATTCTAGGAGCAATGGGCTTTCGGGATGTGATTTCCGGGACATAATTGGCAAGAATCAAGAGGATTGAAGTAGCGAAAAAGAATGAAAAGAAATAGGTAAACTTACAAAAATCTCTCTGGTTCGGAACTTTTGAATTTTTGAATTTTCTCAATTTTTCGGAACTTCGGAGTTTTCCAATTTTCGAATTTTTGAGATTTTCGGAGTTTTGGAATTTTTAGAAAGTTCAGAAGTTTTTGTAAAATTGCTAGTTAAAGAATCCAGAAAAATAGAAGATGAATTAACCTTTTGAATTCCACGTCCATTTTTTCTAGGATCGTCATGGTTCTTGGGATGCACCTATATGACAGCTTCCACGGCAGGATTGACAGGAATCAAGAGTATAGAAGTTGCGAAATAGAACAGAAGGTAAGGAGATACACATTTTCATTTTCAATTAATTTCACTTTCGAGGTATATACTAGTGGAGCGGGCCACCACGTGGGTAAAATTGGGTACATCGAGATTTCGCGCTTTATCTCAATCGTTAAGCGGCGCGTATGTGGATGGCAGTTGCAGTATCACCCTCGTAGTTCAATTAACTTTACGTGAGTCGCTACTCAGCAAATTTTAACACCACGCGACTGAAAAAGCGCAAAATCTCGATTCAAATCCATGTATCCGATTTTACCCCCCGTGGGCCACTAAATTTCGATTTTTACGTGATTTTTCCACTTTTGTGTGACATTTTTCTACTTTTTAAACGTGTTGAATGGCCGGATTGATTTTTTTCGAACTTTTAGAAAAAAAACTATTTTTGTTCAAATTTTATATATTGGCTGATTTGACTTCTAGGAGGCTCTTTTTATGTGAAAATATTTGAATAAATCGAAAAAAATCATGTGAAAATTCATGAAAAACAAAAAAAAAAAAGTTTCACAGAAGTATATTTTTTCTAAAAATTCCAAAAAGAAATAAAACCGACGTAAAATGTCACGTAAAAGGTGGAAAATGAGAATCTTTGAAAATGGAAAAAAAGTCATTAGTTTAATTTCAGATTTCGGATGCCCACGGACAAGTGATACTCAGTCGGACGTCGTGCCATCAGAATATCGTGAACTTGATTTCTTTTTTGTGTTATCTTTCTTTTTTTTTCTTTCCTGCGCATTTTAGTCGATTTTCGGATCGTTTCTATTCTAGTCTGGTCGTGGTCTTTCCGGTTGTGTTTTGAATTTGTTGTTTGTAAGATTAGCAACTATTTCAAAGGTATTCTGACAGCTTGGGGGCAAAACTTGACAGCGGTGAGGATATGGTTTTTAATTCAAAGTTCTAGTTTTGAAATTCTAGGAGCAATGGGCTTTCGGGATGTGATTTCCGGGACATAATTGGCAAGAATCAAGAGGATAGAAGTAGCGGAAAAGAATGAAAAGAAATAGGTAAATTTACGAACATCTCTCTGGTTCGGAATTTCTCAAACTTCGGAATTTTTTGATTTTATCAAATTTTGGAATTTCGGAATTTTTTGAAAAATATGATGAAATAAAAATTTGAATTCCACGTTCATTTTTTCTAGAAGTGGCTTGGTTCGCGGGATGCATCAATTGCTAGGACAGCTTCCAAGACAGGATTGGGAAAAACGAAAATGTCAGAAATAGCGAAATAGAACGGAAGGTGAGGAAATACGAATTTTCATTTTCAATTTTTTTCAATTTCGGGGGGATATACGAGTGGAGAGGGGTCACAAAATGCTCTGATTTTTACGTGACTTTTCCACTTTTGTGTGAAATATTTCTACTTTTTAAACGTGTTGAGTGGTCGGATCTATTATTTTTTTACAAACTTTCAAAAAAAAACACTTTAAAAAAATAAAAAATAATAATTATAAAAATTCCCGGAAAAATGAAACGTTCACGACAATATTTTTTATAAAAGTTCGAAAAAAATAGAACCAACCACTCACGGGGTGAAAGGGTGTTCGCTTTTGAATGAGCGCGCTCCACTGCACTATGGCGGTAATTCAAATTTTAAAAATCAACGTGGCTGCGCAGCACGTGTTATTTGAAAAAAAGTCGATACGGAGTCTTTTTTCATTTCCAACTTCCAATGAGAAAACGTGACAAAAAAATTGTTTTTAAACGTGTCGCCCTTGTTTCTCGGCAGAGAGCGTTCGAAAAAGCGCACATGTCGCGGCAGCAGTAGTCCTCCTGCACGACTACAAACTACAAATATTTATAGAGACTCCACGTGTTTCAACTACACTAAAATCTTTCAACTAATAATCTATTCCCGTGAATTCCAACGTGACCAAGCTCTTCCAATCTTCCAATCTGCCACTGACCTCCACGACCTCCACGTCAAGCTTCGCCCCCTCTGATGGCTATAAAAGGAAACGAATTCGACAGAAAGATCTGTTTACTTCTTCTGAACGTCCCAACTGCTCCCGAACAACTCTCGCACCAAATGTCCGAACTACCAAATGCTGGAAAGAAGACTGCTGGACCCACTGGAAAGGCCAATACTCCTCGAGTCATGGAAGTCAGCGGCAAGATGATGGCACCGACGAGACATGGTCAGTTAACTCGATTTGTTCACAATAAAGATTATTAGTTTTTATTCCTTGTATTTACATTCCTACTCTGGACCACCGGCCTTAGAGTAGGAATATGGTGCATCGACCGGATTTCTACGGTACACACAGCCGTAGAGACCCGCCGGTGGCAAGGAATTTAAGCTATTAATCATATCAGACATATTAGAATGCAGTAAGGCAACAAGGTCAAAAGAGTATTCTCACCCACCACATATGGTAACCCCACGTTGCCACAACTCATTATCGCGAAAAGAACTTTGTACTAATCACTTTATCACAAATTTCAACCATCACGAGTCCGTACCTCATCACACTAATATTGCAGCACCGAATACTACTCCGGCTGCAATTGACACGTTTCTACCGGCTCCAATGACAACTACTGAAAAAGCTGAGATCATTGTCCTCCTCAAGGAAATCAATGAGTCGATCAAGGCCCTTCCTGGACTACTGGGCAACCGAACAGCATCCACTGCTCACAAGGCACCAGCAGCGAAGAGAGCACCTGTGTGCTGTATCTTCTGTTCGGGTACCCACAAGGCAATCGACTGTGATCAGTACAAAAGCCCACAAAGCCGCTGGGCGGTAATTGGTGAAAAGTCCTTGTGCCGCTTTTGCGGTACCGGGGGACACGATCCACAGAGATGCCACAAGAGAGATCGTATTTGTCTCTATTGTGATCGTAAGCATCTAAGCGCACTTTGTGATCTGGAACCTCACGCCCGGAAGGTGCACAAGCCAGCGAACATCTCTGCTGCCGAGGAGATTCCAGTTGACCAAATACTCTGATTTGAATTCCAAGGACATCTCTGCACTCATTAAACTTGTTCTAGCCATCTTTATGATTCGTTAAATAAACTTTATCATTATCAGTACATGTTCTTTGATGCATAGTAATTGATTACACAATAAACTGAACCACCGCAAAAAAAAAAAATATATATATATGTATTTCTTTTCACAATTTCATAACTATCACAAGTTATGAAACAACAACACTGCCTGATTCACAATTCAGTCACCCATCTCACGCAGATTTTGGGTATTACCCACATGGAACTGAAAGTAATTATCCACCAGAATACTGCTCTACAATTTACTCAGAAAGTGAGCATCGTCCATGTGCTAATGTGGTTTTTCACGGGCCCTACGAAGATCCACAGTTGGTGCATCCGACGTTTATCACTTCGACATTTCAACAACAAACAGTTCCTTTTCAACGGTCACTACTGTCGTACGTAAGGCAGTCTGAAATGTCGGTCTTTATGTGTAATGGAAGTCGCTCTGCATTCCAAAGATTCTGACCCGTTTCTATCCTTCAAAGGATAGCCTCATTATATAATTACACAACAACATTGTCATACAGACCGTTTTTGACAGCATATTATACCATAGGTTTCAGCTCATCAATCTGCGAAGTCCACAACTCGTTGTCCGTCATCGCACCGTTCCAAGTCTGGTTCAACGAAACGCAACCCCAAAGGAACTGCAGCGGATCAGGCCAATTGGACAACGCTGCAACCCGCTAAATCACATTTCACTAAATGAGCAAACAAAGCCATCGATCTCATTGCTGAGGTTCGCCGTATTTTAGACGGTGTTCGTGGTGAAGACTTCATACCCGTCCTCCAAGCATCTTACCGAAAACTCTACGAGTTCATAACAACTTTCAACAACTCTAACAGCGAGGCTCTCAGCCTCATTGATAAACACACCGCTCTGTCTTCCTCATCGGAGACACGCAATAAAAATTACTTAGCTTTATCACAACATCTCACCGATAAAGACTACGACCTCCTATCCGGATCTATGGAGGACTTATTGACTGAGATAACTCAAATCTTGCAAAATGAGACTGATCCCTTTGTTCCTGCAAAGAAAACCGACGATACTCCAGTTGTCTCGGCACAGGCTAAGGAAATGATTTCGAAGTTACCGTCACTTCATAGTATTTCTCAATCGGAAGGAAGTGATAAGATAGAGGAACACTCCTCTTACCAAGTCGCTGCCACTAAACCACCAGCTGCACCAATTGTGGTTAAAAAACTCTTTACAAAAGAGCCAGAAGCAATTTCGTCTGGGTTACAACACAACAGTACTCCTGAGCATCTGAAAGAGTTACCTGTTATTACACAATCAGGTACAATTCCACATGAACCACAGGCTGGTTCTACAATTCAAGGAGATGTCCTCCAAGACATACTTACCAACTTCATGAAAAACTTCGACAAAAAATTTCAAGACTTTTCTGAAAAAACGGAGCACAAACTCCAACAGATGAAACAACTACAAGGTCATTTTATCCAGCAACTGGAAGGGTTGCAAGATAATATGTCATTAGTACAAGATCAGTTAAACCAGCACACTATGGCTAAAGAACAGGCCTCGGAAATCTCAGAAAAAAGAAAAATCATGTGCGTGGAGTTTTTTAGTTCTCAGCCAAGTTTTTCGACCATATGCCATTCCCTCGCACAGCTATGAATGTTCTCTTGAAACTATAGGCACTAGTAATGGTTCAAAGTTATTAGGTAGTGCTTGTGATACCATATACATGGGCCATGGTCCATAATGTTAATGGATTTCTGTTCCCGAAATCACACGTAAAGGATCTGAGACTAGAAGAAACCTTTATGGACATCTAAACGGATCAGTTCGCATTTCACCTGGGATATGAACTTTTACAGAATACTCCTATCATTCGAGTGTGCTTATAACTATGTGAATTCGGCTCACTCACTCACCTTGACCACTCTTCCACAATTGATTCCTGGACACCATTTCAAAAACCTGTTAACTGCCACAAAATCCTCCAAACCCACTTTGTGATAAAGTTCAATAGTATCAATGTTTTCTTGTAGAAAGGACAGGATCTGAACATGAAAACATGAGTAATGGTATTCATGGTAACCATAACCTACCGCTTCCTCATTCAAAACTATCTCGCAATCCTTTCCCAAGCACTGAATTTCAAACTTTCTAACCTTAATTTTGTGTGTCAAGTAATTCTTCCAACAATCCTTACATGCCCGATGGCAACTCATTCCCGATAAAAACTTATCGAAACAACAGAGTTCACAATTATCGTGTTCGTCAATGGACGTCACGTCTTCAGAAGATCCAATTTTGAATTCTGAGACAATATCTGATTTTGAGTAGAATGCATTGATAACATCCTCTGGATTCCATTCATATTATCGGAGAAGAATTTGGCAGATTCCTTTTTTTAACTCTACAATTCCCTGGACTTGAGAAATTAAGGATTTCCTGTACTCGACTATTTCTTCTTGAGATAAAAATTTGATTTCTGATTTCTCCGATTCCTCTGATTTCCCTGATTCTTCCGATATTTCGGAATTTCCGGATTGTTGGAACTTTTCGGAATTTCTGATCTTGCTGAACCTCCAAGATTGGATTCTGAAAAAAAATATTCTGGTTACTGTAACTTGGATTTTGGAAATTACTGGCATCTTCAAAGTCATCAGAATTCGAATCCATTGTCTGATGGAGACTGGTTTGTAAAGATTGATAAGAAAAAGTGATCAGGAAAATTTGTTTTTTAAAGAAGGCATTGATTTTGGGCGGCTTTTCAGTAGATCAAAAAATTTAATAATTTTTTAAAAATTCGAGTAGATCAAATATATTTTTGGGCGGCTAAAACTGCCTTCTCTTTGTTTTTCTAACCACTTTCCTCGAGTTTTTTGGAAGTCTCATTGTTTTTCGTTTTTGAAAATTTATAACTTCAAGCTCCGCCCCCTTTTCCCCAATCCATCTTCTTTTTCCAGAAAACCATGACAAACTCCAATAGCACACTAATCCAGGATCCAGACGAATATGAGGTCGAAAAAATCCATTGTATGCAAATCGAAAAAGGGGGCGGGACTTTGACGAAAAGAGGCTCCGCCTCCCGGATAACGTTCCTCGTCAAATGGGCGGAGCATAAACAGAAGACGTGGGAACCGATTGAAAGTTTTGAAGACGGTCATGGGACACCTGGAGAACAACATCCATTGATTCGAGAATTTTTGAGACAAGGAACAAATTTGGCAAAGTATAGGAAGATGAAAATTGGTTAGTTTTGGGGGTGGTCACTGGAAACGCGTCAAGGTATTGTAGATACGCTTACTGGCGCACTTTCGGTGAGATGACGCATTTCAAGTGAGTTGGTCAAATTTCAGAGAGTTGGCGCATTTCAAAAAAACTGAAAATGTTGGAAAAAGTTGACACATTTTAAAGGAGGCGAGACAGCAAAAATTTCGGGGGACAGTTCGGGTGACGAAATCGCGCCGCGCTTATGTAGACCATCGGTCGTCATGCGCCTTCGCGCCCCCGTAGCTCAGCCGGGAGCGGCGCTGTACCCCTGAGCTGCCTGTCATGAGTTCAACCCCTCATGGGGGTTCTCTATGCAAAATATCAGGAAAACTTTTGGTGTCTGGCCTCCTTTAAGGGATTTGCCGATTTTCAAGTGAATTAACATATTTCAAGGGCCTTGGCGCGTTTCAAGTGAGTTGACACATTTTAGGAGAGTTGGCGCATGATCAGCTAGATCATTCATAATCGTCTAGATATAATTCATGATCTTCTAGACCACAATGTGCCTGTTGACGCTTACTGAGTGCCTTGACGCATTTCGCGATCCCTGACATACTTCCCTCACTTGTAGAGAGCTGGCGCATTTTCGGTTAGATGGCACGAATAATATAGATTTTTGTCAGCGGTAGTGGCGTGAGTGGTGTTCCTTGACGCATTTCATGTGAGTTGACACATTTTGAGAAAGTTGGCGCATTTCACGATCCGCTTGACACAAATGTTGATCGTTGGCGCACGTTTAGTGTCTTGACGCATTTTCCGATCCCTGCTATTTTTACGCAATTGAAGTGTGTTGAGCCCTTTTTAGGTTGTTGACGCATTTCTAGTGAGTTGGCACATTTCGAGAGAGTTGGCGCATTTCACGATACATTCAAAGCAAAAAGAGCTCATTGGCGCATAATGAGTGCCTTGACGCATTTCCCGATCACCGCCATGTCTAAAATCTTCTATTTTTAAGCCATAGCTTCTGAATCAAAACATGTCTCTTCAGTCAAAAGATTTATCAAAAGAGAAGAGTCAATTCATTCGGTAAGCACTATTTCCAATCTTTTGAATTTTAGAATTCCCTTTCTGCAGATTTCAAATCTTCTGGATGTTCGTTTGGATGAGAATGGAGACATGGAATTTCTAGTCGAATCGAATGGAAATTTTGAGAGTTCCTGGCAACCGATGAGCCATTTTCCAGGTGGAGAAAAGTCGAATAAGGCGATTTTGGATTTTTTGAATTTGGAAAGGAATCGGAGAAAATATGAGGATCTGAAATTGGGTGAGATCTTTGAGTTTCGGACCAAAAAAACATTTTTTTCTGTTTTTCCAGAAGTTGTCAGAATCAAGGCGAGGAAATTGAGAAAATCTGGAGTTTCCAAAATTTCAAAAATTCCAAATTCACTAAAAAAGGAATCAGAGAAACCAAAGGATCCAGAAGATTCGAAAATTAATGAAGTTTTTGACGAATCAAAATTGGAGAATTCAGAAGAACAAGAGGTCCAGGAAATTGTGAAATTTCTAGTGGAAAAAATCAAAATCGAGCCAAAAAGAAGGGAATCAGAAGACTCTCCGATTGAATATTTGAGATCTGGAGATCAAGATTCTGACATTTCAGTTTTCAAGGATTCAGAAAATTCGGTGATACTGAATTCAGAAGTTCAAAGTCCCAGTAATCTGGAAAATCGAGATCCAATGCTTCAGAATTCAGGATCTCCGGAATTCTCAGTTTCGCGGGGTCCAGAAGACGCAAAAGGCCCAAAACCAATCATTCCTGAAACCCAAACTCTCCAGAATCCGATTCCTCCAATTCCAGAAGTTCAGAATCTTCCGGAACGACTTCAGAATTTGTTGAAAACTTGGAATGGATTTCCAGAGAAACAAAAGGAAAAATATGTAAATTCGGTATTCAAAAAAGTTGGAAATCAAATGAAAAAGGAGGATTTTGAGAAGCCAATCGGTGCTTTTGACATTTGGAAAATGGAAAATGAGGCGAGATTTTCTGAGAAATTTCCAAAGAAAAATGACAAGGAAATTGGAAATCTTTTGGAATTTGAATGGATTTTCAAAATGGAGAATTCGATTAAAATTGCCTATACTTTGGATTCATGGGACCGAGTGATGAAAATTGAGCAAAAAGGAGAAAAACGACTTGGAAAGAAGGTCTTTGAAGTTCCAACCAAGATTCCAAAAATGTTCTGAAACTAGATTCTGGAAATTTTCGATTTTTGTTTTGTAATATTTTTTCCAAGTTTTATCAGTTTTTTAAAACTTCACTAATTTGATAACATTTTCTTTATGTATGTTCATAATATTAATTTTACCACATACTCGTTTGCGTTTTACGGTTTTATATAAATTTTCATAACTTGAAAAAAGACAATTTTCTTTAATTTTTCAAAAAGGACGCAGATAGAAACATGAGGAATTCAGAAATCAACATTAGAGTTTTGGAAGTTTTGAAAAAAAAATTAAAATTATTCAGAATTAAGAATATTATGTTTTTCGTTGAAGAACGGAGAAAAATAGAGGCACGAGTTAAAGGCGCACGCCTTTTTCCGCCGCGCGGGTCTCGAAGCGATCATGCCCGATTGGGCATGAAACTCGAATTTCGAAATCATTTTACGTGTTTTAACGAGTCAGCCAGCCCACCCACCCGGGGGAAAAGAGAAAAAGAGAAAAATAGAGAAATGAGAGGGAAAAGAGATTAACTATAATTTTCAGAAGGAGCCAAAAGACAGTTCGTCGAAGAACTCGAGCAGAAGGCAGGTGAAGAGTTCGGACACCACATAGCGAGACGCAAGATGATCCCTTTCGAAGCCAAAGCTACGTCTACAGCTGTCGCTCACAAGGCAGAGAACGATAAGAGAAATTTGTGGATTTCCCAGAAAAAGCCTCCAATGAACGAGTCGTCATTTTTGTTATACTTGTTGGACAGAGCTAAGCAAATCGGGAGTAGTGCTTTGGCGAAGATCTCGGCTGCCTATCAAACAGCAAATGAAGGCATTTCAGCCATCGGAGCGTCTTTTGTGTCAGACATCATCAAGTCAAAAAGAAGAGAGGAAAGCCTGCTAAAGAAAGAAGTAGTGAAAGTGACTATGGAGGATGTGCAGAAGATCACATTGTTGGCAATGAAAGAAGATAGTCCGGAGAGGAATCGAGATGTGCTGCTGGCAATTCTATCGTTCAATGTCATGCGAAGAGCATCGGAAGCAGCTGAGATCAAGTGGGCAGGAGTAATACTGAAAGACGGGATGATTGAGATGCATGTAGAGAAGGCAAAGAATGATCAGTTGAGACTCGGAAGATCGTCGTTCTTCAACTACGAGCCAGGCAGCGATGCGGACATCTTGATGTGCCGATGGAGACTCCGTACCAAAGGAAAGTGCCCATACGTTTTTCGCATCTGGACGGCTCGAAGAAGCTCTCGAAACAAGCCATTTCGAGATCGCGATCGGGAAGAGATCGCGATCGAAAGCGATCGGGAAGCCGGGAGCGACTCATCACTGCTTCAGAAGAGGAGGAGCCAACCCAATCTAGATTCTCATGTCTCCATTTCCTCCTCGGCCCGTCACCCCATGTTACTTAAATGCCACCACCCCAAAATCAACGACTATTTTGCCCAAACGATCCCGGTTTGGAACGCTATTGTAAAGAACTGGCACACTTTTTTGCCTCCCTCAAAATTCTTATCACTTCTTGAGATCTCGATTACCCGTTTCTGACTTGCCCTCATCCCTTTGATCTTGTCTCTTTTCTTCCCCCATATAGGACTAACTCTTGCGGGTTAGTCCTTCTTAGCTTCGTTTTATCATTTTCTTTTCCCGGTTCCCATCAATCTTTATTTATCTTCAAATCTTCGAATAAACGAATATATATTTAAAAACCACATGAGGAGAATCGGGCATTCAATGGAGGAAATTCAATGCAGAGGAAGATGGAGATCGGCGGCAGGACTTCAGCGGTATCTCACTGATGTTCCAACAGCTCAAGGATGTCTACAGTCCCAGGCAGAGGCAGATGACGAGAAGACGAATAGTAACAATCTTGTAATATTTATAGCTATTCCAGTTGTTTTGTTTGTTCTACTAGTTGTTTTGGTTGTGTTACTAACTTCTCATATCATGTTCTATATCTCAAATTCTCTCTTGATCTCTCAATATTCTTTATTTCGATCTCCCGTTTTCTCCCCGAAATCAAGTTATTGATTTTATTGTAATATTTCTTGATTCCTTCCCGAGTGTGTGTGTGTTGACACACTCGGTTTTTATATGTCTGTATCCTTTATACGACCTTATTATTACACAGAAAACCTATTTTTAATAAACATGTAACATCAAATTGATTTTTCGTAGTGATGAAACAGAAAAACTTATTCTCTTGTAACGTTTTCCCTTTTTTTTATTCGAAAGAGCGTTTTTTTTGTGCATCGTTTGATATGTAGTCTCAGTTTGGCATTCTCTTTTTTCAATTGGGAATTCCGTTTAGAAAACGTCGAAAAAAATGCGCGGGAAGGTACAAATTTAAGTTGGTCAAAAATGCCGCGCAAGCTCTTAGTTCTCTCTCAAAAGTATTCAAACAAGCTTTTCTATAAAAAAAATGATTCGTAAGCTAGTTTGAACGTTTTCATAATGACGATGAAAGCTTGGAAGACCGTGAATACACCGTTCGACCAAAAATCATTGACAGTGAACTGCTGAGAGACTTAAACGAGTCGGATCCTTGCCAAACGACTCGTAGTCTTTCAGAACCGTTTTCTTGTACTAATGGTATTATCGCTCGGCGGGAAAGTCTTTGTCACTCTGTTTGTTTAATCACTGTTCTCGTATATGGAGGCTGTGTATGATATCGACTCTAGTGAATAACAAGGTGATAAGAACCTTCCATATAAACAAGTCCCCATTTCCTTCCCTGCTCCTCATCTGTAATTGAAACGATATGTTTGTTCCCACTGCTATTCACATCAGACATGTTTTGATTTACCTCTTCCTATCTCACACCACGATGAAGGATTCGGAATCTTTCTTGAAGAATGTGTACAACACACATGCCCCTCACTACAATACTATTCGCAATTGGTTCCATCGTTTCGAAAAAGATGACTTCTCGCTCGATGAAAAGGATCGCTCTGGGAGACCCCGTGAGTTGGATTTGGACAAGCTGAAGCACGCATTGCAATCGGATCCATTTCAATCTAGCCGTGAACTAGCTGTCACATTCGGAGTTCACCATAGCACAGTCCTTGAAGGTTTGAAGTCTCTTGGAATGAGAAAACTTTTTGGTCGATTCATACCTCATCACCTGACTCAAGCCAACCTTGACCGCCGAGTCGACGATTCGATTACTCTTCTCACTCTCCACGCGGGCGATCGATGGCTGGACCGGCTAATAACCGGAGATGAGAAGTGGGTCTTCTACGATAATCACCACAGGAAATCCCAGTGGGTTGGAGAAGGAGAGAGCCCACAGGATGTCCCCAAACCCGACCTTCATCCGAAAAAAGTTATGCTCTCTGTGTGGTGGGGAGTGGACGGCCCCATCTACTGGGAACTTCTGCCCGAGGGCAAAACAATAACTGGAGACCTCTACACTACTCAACTACGAAACCTCAAGAAAGCAGTCGACCGTTCGGCCCTGAAAGACAAGAAAGTGTACTATCAACATGATAACGCTCGCCCACAAGTTTTCGAAACAAGTGAAGCAGGAGCTGATGGGATATGGATGGAATGTTCTCCCTCACCCCCCGTATTCTCCTGATCTTGCTCCTTCCGACTATTGGTTATTTGGCGATATGACACGTGCCTTCGAAGGAAGAAGCTTCAATTCCCGTGGAGCGGTCGAAGCGGCACTCAAACAATACTTTGCCTCACGCCCGGCTGGATTCTACCGCAATGGAATCCATAAATTGAGGGAACGTTGGAGACATGTTGTTGATAATGATGGACAATATAATTAATTATTCGGTTATTTTTTCTTTGAGAAATAAACTATTGAAAAAGTGACAAAGACTTTCCCGCCAACCTAATACCATTGAAAACCATTTGCACAAATTGGAAAGTCGAACAGTTGCGGAAGTTTTTTCCTACCACCACTCCCTCCTCGCACTTATCAGAATTATCCTTCTTTTCTCGAAGAATATCGCCTTTCTCGGTTCTTATGTTATGTCGGATGATAAAGTGATTCAGTACGATAATACTACTCAGAATAGACAACGGTTGTCCCTCGGAGAACCTGCCAAAACAACTCGAAATGAGAGATATACGGAAAGAAAGTAATGCTATGTGTATGGTGGAAGAGCAAGGGTCTTGTATGCTTTGAAGTTCTGGAAAAAGGTCGAACAGCCACTACTGAACTCTATCAATGATAATTGGGCCAAATGCAGCAAGCGTTGAGACGTCAAGCTGTGAATACACCAACGACAAAACTCCTTCATGATAATGCTCGGCCACATGTGTCAAAAGTCACTCAGCAGAAAATCGATGAAATGGGCTGGGAAGTTCTCCCTCATCCGCCAAGTAGCCCTGATTTGGCACTTTCAGATTTCCAGTAATTCATATCAATGCGACCCTCATTAGCCGAGAAACACTTCAAAAGCCGCGTTGAGCAAAAATGTTCTCCGGATAGAGAAATACGTTCCGACAAACACGCCACTCATTATTTTTTAGCCAACCTAATAGAAGGCCACTCAAAGCTCTCACTTTCAGTTCATCTATCTCGGTTCCCGTCAAAGATATAAAAAAAGTTGTCAACTGAAATTTTTTTTTGATAATATGAAAAACATTTTATCAGTAGACTGCTTTTTGATATCTTTTACAGGAACCGAGATATATAGGCTCAAAGTTGATGGTTTGGGTGGGCTTGTTTTAGTGTTCACGGTACTTTTTTGAACTACCGTAAAACCTGTATTAGAAGGACCAGCCCTTCTATTTTTTCAAGATACTTCGAGGGCCCTTCTATTACAGGGGTCCTTCAATTAGAGGGGACCCTTCTATTTTTACGGCCAGTTTTTCCCGAATTTTTGCATCGAACAATTCGACGAAGTTTCGTTCAAAATTCATGAAAATCTGCCAATTTCACCAATATTTAGCCAGATTTTTATCGAAAACAGAGTTTAAACAAATTTCTATTAAATTGTGGGATTCCCGAAATATTTTTCACTGAAAACGTACGGAAGTTTTTTGATTTCAAGACACACTTTGGAGGGGTCCTTCTTTACAGGGGGCACTTCTATTACGGGAGCCCTTCGATTACAAGGGGCCCTTCTATTTTTCCAAACCCCGCTTGTAGGGCCCTTCTAATACCGGTTTCACGGTAATCAAAAAAATGTATGATTTTTTGATAAATCGCACTTCCTTTCTCGATAATAATTTTTCCAATTGTCAGTTTCAATGACTGGAAGAGAATTCACTCTGAAATATCAATTCAATGATGTTGGAAAACTAGAAAATAATCAAATACTTTCTAGTCCAATAGAAGATCATTATGGTGTGAAATGGTAAGTCAAATGACTATTTTTTTCACGAAATCCAGACTTGAATTTCATGCATGTAAGAATACAAAGATCGGACAACAATCTCAGTATGTATTTATACACAAATCTGACTGAAAACCAAGAAGTTCATGTCGATTATACCTTTAAAGAATTCTTAGGAAACAAGGAAAACACTCGTGCAATTTTTGGGAGTAAAGTGTTTAAAGGTGCTGATAAGCCAATTGATTTTCTATTTCACAAGATCTCTCTTTCAGGCCAACGACATCGGTGTATTTCTATTGCCTGGAAAACAGTGGAGAAAGAATACCTGAATGATGGAAGATTGGAAGTGGAATACCATGCGAAAATAACAAAAATGATTGGATTTTCAAGAGAAAAATTGAGATCTTTTGGAGAGGAAATGAAGCAGTTTTCAGATGTGATTTTGAAAGTAGAAGATCGAAAATTCTATGTTTCAAAATTGGTGAGTTGTTTTATGATTTAGCTTTATGCCGGTGGAAAGTCGAAAAGATAACTGAAAAAGAAATTGGAATTGGCTAGAGCCAATCCGTGTTTGACACACCCTTTATCAATTTAATCATTCTTATTTTCCTTATCTGTAAAACGTTAAACGCGTCTGTTGATCCTCGTGTTAGGCTGTCCATTTTTGGAAAGCTTACAAGGGAAGTGTTTTTAGAGGGGCTTTGAGAATTAGCTCAAAATTTGTACAAAGGTACTTTTAAACATGCTGAATACGATTTCAGCAATATCTCGGTCATAACCCTAATAGGAACAAAAATATGGGCTCTCAAAGTGTTTTCAGTACTAAATTTTGACCAAAAACGTGCATTTTTCTGAGCTTTAAAACTCCTTTTCCAGGATTTTTTCAAGTGGGAAACTCTTTTTTAATCATTTCTCTATCATCTTAAATAATTTTTGTACAATTTCAAAAAAAAATTTTTTCGATTTTTTTTTGAAAAAAATCATCATGGGGTACCCCACACTTTAAAAGTGATTTTTCGAGAAATTTTTTTGAAAGTGCAAAAAAGTGAGCCCTGATTATTCCCAAAATCTGATAATTGCAAGAAATTTGAAGAACTGTAACTTCTCAAATATTGCTCAAAATCGCACGGAATACACAGAAATATATGAAGATCATTTGGGTGATTGATGTAGTGGTGTTCCACTCAAAAAAGAGCAACACAGAGCAATTCCGAGAGTCGAAAGTTTTGCTTTTGGGCGATAGGACAAGTCGAAAAAAACAATATTTCAAAATTTCTTCAAAATTCCAAACGCCTTCTTTTTCACTTTGAAAACGTCGGGAATTCATGAAATAAGTATAATTTGTTATTCAGGGGACCAAAATGAATATCGAAAATTCGTCTCGAAAAAAAAACAAAAAAAAAAAGATTTACCACAGTGGGGTTCGAACCACCATAGTCACTCTTAATGAGTCTCCCTCTTACCACAACACCACACAGCCGATATTTTCCTCTGGCGCGGAGTGCGTATAGGAGAGTGGGGCGTAGTGGAGTGAGGGAGAGGGCGAAATCGACCAAAAATTTTCAGACGAAGATTTTCAGCTTGTTGATGATACTATGACTTAGATTTTTTTGGCATCGTGTTGCGGATATCTCAAACTATCAGTACTGAAATTTTTAGAAAATTCTCAACGCCCCTCTGAAAGCACTTCCCTTGTTAGAAAATAAATATTGATTTACGTGGCTGTAAACACTAGATTGAGTCGCGCCGAAGGCGCACCAGCGGAGGCGCGGCAAACTAGTGGCTGATAATGAATAAATGAAGTTGCGTCTTTTTATCCGCCTGTCCGCACATTTTGAAAAACTTGAAAAAATATATAATTTGACGTGAGCTTTTGAAAAAGAGTGACGAACAGTAAAATAAATAGGTCATCACGCGCCGAAGGCGCACCATCAGATGTTTGAAGCGCCGGAGGAGTGGCAAACGGGCTGGGGCAAACGTAGGAAAGTTTAAGTTTTTTTTTCAGTACCTATCTTCCCAATCTTCTTATTTCGCTACACTATTTTTGGGACAATTTCAAGAATCTGAAAAGTCAGAAATCAAACTAAAAGATGTGAATCCTCAAGATTTCCAATACTATCTCGAAGTCATCTATGCAGAAGATGGGATTGATGGTGGGTTACTGTAATCTTATTATTTTACATGTGCAATTTCAGAATATACTGTTGAAAGAATCCTTGCAATAGCTGATATGTACGACACCCCTTTGGTTGTCAAAAAGTGTGAAAAATATTTGGTGAACGAGTCAAAAATGGAATTGGAAAAAAAGTTAGAATTGGCGGAAAAGTATATATTGGAAGAGTTGAAAGTGAGTTTCAAATAGTATTTTGAACAGTGTCTTTTTCAGAAAATATGCTTGGAGTCCGTGTGATCAAGACCCAGAGGATTTCAATAAGATGGATGCCAATGCTCTCTAAACTATTCAAAAAGCCTATTATATTTTCATTTTTCAATAACTGACATTTATCAATAAAAACTCGTTTTTTACTTTTGCTATGATTAAAACATAAAAATAAACCATTTTAAGCCGTCAACTTTATGCTCAATTATCTCGGTTCCTATGAAAGATATCTGAAATTGTTAACTGATAATTTATTTATTATAATATCACAAATATTATATCAGTTGATAGATTTTTGATATCTTTCATAGCAGACGAAATAATTGAGCTCGAAGTGTACATACAAAGGCTTGTATTCTATTATTTATACGGTATGAAGGTTCCTTCAACATATATCAAAAAGTAGTCAACAGATAAAATTTTTGTGATATAGTGATGAGCATTTTGTCAGTTGATTACTTTCTAATAACTTTCCCAGAAACCAAGATAGCGTTTGTCACAGTGACGGCTGACTGTCAATTGTCAACTTTGAGACATTTGGTTCCTGGGGATCTCGGTTTCTGGGTAAAACATCAAAAAGTGACCTACTAACAAAATGTGCGCTATAACGTCAAAAACAATTTCTTATTTAATTTGTTTATTGATCAGGTGTAATAAAACATTAGAGGGCAGGACATGAAAGGCTCAGAAAAAATGCCCCTCACGAGGCCGATCTGAGTAGGGGAGGGGAAACGGGATAATTTAGATATTTGACACAGGAAAGATGTAACCGGTAGAAAAAGAAAAATAGGGAGCAAATATATCAATAACGGGTAATACTGGAAGAAATTAGGGATTCAAACTCGGAAGGTAGGAGAAATCGAGTAACTTGGGAAGTGATGGCGTTCCACAGGGGAACAATTGAAGAAAAATAGTCAGAGGAGTAGGGCTGAACAATAATTAAGTTCATAGGGCGACGAGGGGAGGAGGAGTATTTGACATGTGCATTTAGGTTAGGAAAGTAGGCGGAGCCATTTAAAAATTTATAGAGAAGAATTAGTTGAGCTTTTAGCCTACGATTTCGAATGGAGTTGAGGATATTGAGAATAGGAACTGTACTGGATATTACAACGCTGGAAAATACACTTAGAGAAAAATCTTAAGGGAGATTCTAGAGCAAGGCGAGAAGAAGACGGAGGGGAATAAACTACAGAACAATATTCAAGAATCGGGAGAACATAACATTTGAAAAGATGAATGTTCCCGGACGGAGGAGGAGGGAGTAAGTGTGACACCCGCAATATTGAGAGGATGTGAAGAATTATGGGAACCTAGGCGAAGAAGGGTTCGTCAATTTGTTAATTTACAAAATTTTAATATCTTTTACAGAAAGTTAGATATCTTGGGATCCAGTTTTAAGATTGGGGACCTTCTATGCGGTTTGACGTTTTAAAATTAGTGGAAATTCTTAAATTCTGCATTTCCTAAAGGAATATATACTTTTGTAACTAAACAAAATATTTCGGAACTCGAAAGTCGAGTTCCAAAGTGCACCAGTCACAAACCAAACCTCACCAAAATCAATGGTCCAATAAGACCTTCCCACGAGGCACCTCTTATCGAAGCACTGCCCAGGCAACTCCCATAATTATGGCCCACCTGGTTATTCCCTTTTTTCTCTCATTTTCTACCTCGTTTTATTGTTAGTCCTTGAAGGACTCCTTATATTGATTTTCCTAAAATATTGATTTACCGTATCCCTAAATTATCTCGGTCCCTGTAAAAGATATGAAAATCTATTCAACCAACATAATGTTCAGTATAATATCAGTAACATTTTGTTAGTTGGCCGCATTTTGATTTCTCTTACAGTAACCAAAATAAATTGGGTCAAAGTTGGCTCCCAAAGGTTTTTTTTTTCAGAAAATGGCCACCAGCCCCGCCAACGATGTTGCCGAGGACTCTCAGCAGTATCAGGTACAGTATACCTTTTCAAAAAAAAGCCCAAGTGTATTTTTTTTCAGATCCTAAAAATCCACAGTATGCAAATCGAAGAAGCTTCCTGCATAAAATTCCTTGTGGAATGGAATGGATATGAAGAGAAGACGTGGGAGCCGATCGAGTGTTTTGAAGGTGTCGGAGGAGAATCTGGAAAGCAAAATCCAGCAATTCGAAAGTTTTTGGGAGAAGGATCGAATTCGGCAAAATACAGGAAGATGAAAAACGGTTAGTTTTGGGGTAGTGTTGGGGTGGTGGGACTTAACGAGGCGCTGGATAAGCTTTTGCGAGGCTGACGTTCCTCGCCTCATACATACTCCAGGGAAAAACGCAAATTGGCGTGGTGGTGTTTGCGGACGTGCTTACCGTACTATCGCATAATTTACTGTGTGGTTTGGGGAGAGGAGGAGAAAGAACTGTAATCGTTGACGAGATCTAGTGATAGAGTGAGAAGACGCTCCCCGCCTCATCCACGCTCCTGGAAAGTTTGCAAGTTTGCTTCATGGTGATTGCGGACTTGCTTACCGTACGTACTCTCGTTTAGTTATACACTATGGTAAAAGGGCATCGAAACCGTAAACTTTCAGGTTATATATCTCGGTTCCTGTAGAAGATATAAAAAAGTAGTCAACTGACAAAATGCTACTAATATTATGATACATTTTTTGTCAGTGGACAACTATTTTATACCTCTTACAGGGAATGAGATAAATGGGCTCAAAGGTGACAAGTTTGTGTGACCTACTTTCAGAATTTACGGTAACTGTTTGGCTTGGGGAAGGGAGGAGGAAGGACCGTAATCTTTGACTAGATTCTCATCTGAGGGAAGGTTGAGAAGACGCTATTTGGAAATTGGGTAGGACTACTGTAGTGTGGGTAGATTTACTGTAGTTTAGGTAATATTACTGTAGCCATGGAATGCATTCAAAAAAAAGTATCTTGAATTGTGAAATTATTTTTCAGATATCGCTACAAGACGTCCCAAGAAATTTCAAAGAAACAAAGAGGAGCTATTCGAGGTAATTTTTTTTTCCATATTTTCAAAAATCTCAAAATTCTCCTTCTGCAGATTTCAAATCTTCTTTGATGTTCGTCTGGATAAAAATGGAAAAAAGGAATTTTTGGTTGAATGGGAAGAAAATTTCGAGAATTCCTGGCAACCTATGAGCAATTTCCCCGGTGGAGAAGTGTCGAATGAGGCGATTACAGATTTTTTGAATTTTGAGAATAATCGGAAAAAATATGATGAATTGAAATTGAGTGAGTTTTTGGGATGGAATGAGCGGGTTTTTGAAATTGTCCTTTTTTCAGAAATCGTCAGTATCAAGGCGAGAAAATTGAGAAAATCTGGAATTTCAAAAACTCTCAAAACTCGAAATACGCTAGAAAAGGAATCAAGGGAATCAGAGGATTCAGAAGATTCGAAAATTCGAATTGTTGAAATTCTTCAAGAATCAGAATCTTCAAAATCTGAAGATACGAAAAATCAAACAATAGAAGATTCGAAAATTCAAATGAATCAAGATATTCAAGAATCGGAAACTCCGAAATCTGAAAATTCCAACAATTGAAACTAGCAGCTTCGAAAATTCAAATTGATGAAGTTCTTCAAGAATCAGAAACTTCAAAATCCGAAAATCCCGAAGAAGCCAAAGATTCAGAGATTTCTGATGATCAGAAAATTCCAGAGCCAATTCAGAATTTAGTTAAAATTTGGGCATCATTTTCCGAAGAGAAAAAAGAAAAATATATTGACGATTTAATGAAAAGGAACCAGTTGATTTGTTCTTTCGTCATCTGGTATAAAGAAAATGTGGACAAATTTGAAGAGAAATTTCCAGAAAAGAACAAAAAAGAAATCGAATATAAAATGGAATGTTTTTGGACCTGGAAAATGAATGATGAAATTAAGTTCCCGTACTTTTTGGCCTCCTGGAATCAGGTGCTCAAAATTGAATAGGTAAAACATTTTTTTATTCTAAAGCATTAATTTTTCGAGATTTTGAATGAGAAAATTGAGCCAATTCAAAATTATAAATTATAAATTTTTTAAAATTTTCTATTTCAGAAAGTCGCCAAACTTCTTCCGATAACTTCTGAATCCGCTGAACTCCATTAATTTTTGTATAATTTTTTTCCCTATTTTCATTACCTTTTCTGTAAAATCGTTTTTTTTTCTAGCGTTTTTTATTGTATCTACTCAATCTGTTTTCATTTTGCTCCTAACTAATTTTTAAATGAATCTTATAAAAATTAAGAATTTTATTAAAAAAGGATTCTATGAATCTAGAAGCTTTTGCAGTTCTGAACTTCTCCAATATTCTAAACTTGGGGTTCTTAAAAATTTTTATCTCCACGTTTGGATTTTTAACGGTTGCCGAAAAAAAATGTCGGCAATTTCGGCAACTTTCGGCAATTTTCGGCAACAAAAGTTTTGCGTCTTTTTTTCAGAACTACAGAAAATGTGTTTCATAAGTTTCTTAAAAAAGTAATTACAAAAATTGGCAACTCAAGACCACATTTTTTATGCAAACTATTTCTCTTTAGCAATAGAGGGTATTCCAATGGTTGAAAATATTTGTTCCGATTGTGAGTTTTGAAAATAGTGCGCTCAACTTGTTAAGCAACTCACGACACACGTTCCCTAGAGATTTGAGACAGATTGGATAATTTTTTTGATGATTTTGACTCATGATATCTATTTTTCTCCTATGCTCACAAAAAATGAAGCTCATTTTTAGATCCGATGCAAGTATTTTTGATGATTATTGGGACACATTTCCTCTAAAATTCACTCTGAGGGATGATGGTGTTCAAAATTTGATTTTTCGAACTTCGAAATCATTTTTTAACTAAAAAAATTGTGAAAATCTCTAAATTCAAAAAAATTTCAGTTGCCGAAATTGCCGAAATTTTTTTGCCGATTTCGGCAACGGCAAATCGGCAACTTTTTCTTCGTTGCCGATTTCGGCAACGGCAAATCGGCAACAAAAATTCGGCTATTTCGGCAATTTCGGTAATCGGCAATTTGTTGCCGCACAGGCCTGCCCCTCATATAATCCCCTACGACCTTCTGCATGGACGTCGGATAAAGGTCCCTTTTTATTTTTCTGAATTTATTATTCTTCTTTAGCTACGTATTCCATTCTTTTTGTCTAGCCAAGCCAATCGAGAAGACTAAGAAATGTGCAAAAAGTAAGATTTCTATACTTGCACTTTGAGCTCAATTATCTCAATTCTTGTAAAAGATATCAAAAATTTGTTAACTGATGAACTTTTTTTCAGAGCATAATCAACATTTTATCAGTCGGAATGTTTCTGATAACTCTTATAGGAATCGAGATAATTCAGCTCAAACTTGACAGTGTGGAAGACCTTCTGTTACCGTAACTCTGTGCAAATTTTGGTGGAAATGCAAATTTCCATATTGGAGACCCTAAGAGAAAAAAGCTAAACGATAAAATAAAAAACCATGATTTCAGAATTTTATAGTTAATTTTCTAAGAACCAGTCGGTTTACGCCCTTTCGGGGCTAAACCTCCTGGCCTCCGGTCGCCCTCCACCAAAACGTTGATTTTGAAAAAATTGTTTCAAATACAAATTTTCGTGTTTTTTGAATTTCTGGAATCCCGAATTTTCGAATTATCAGGTTTGAATTTGCTAATTTCCGAATTTCCTAAATTCTAATTGCTCGAAATTTGTGAATTCAGAAATTCCTATTTTCAGGTTTCAGAAAATTCGAGAGTTGAAAAATTGAAAAAGTCCAAACTCGAAAATTTTGATCCAAAATCTCAGCAATTCGAAAACTCTGAAATTCTAAAAGTTAAATGTAGATAATAAGAATTTTGAAATTCCCAATATTAATTTGAGTATCTTCCGAATCTAGATTTTCTGAATTTCCGATATTTTATCATATTTTGAGGTCTTTGGACATTTTTGTTGTGGTTTCAGAGCTTCCAGCTTTGTATCCAGCTAACTTGGCTCTTCATTAAAAAAAACCACTGAAAAGCTTCAAAATAGAACTAAATTGTCCTTCCTACTTGATATCAAATCTGGAAATTTTGAAAACTCCTTCCCGCAATACCACTCGAACCGATAAAAGAAAATATTACACATATTCTCTTTCACTTCTGAACTTTTTTTTAAATCGAAAAAAAAGAAGTTGCCGCCTGCCGGACTCGAACCCGCGTAGCGAGAACAAAAGCGTAGTGCCTTAGCCACTACACCACACAGGAAAGGTGAAAAACATGGCGTACACGTGTGTGTTGCCTCACCAACCTCACCAACTCCCCCTCTCCCTCCTCTCTCCGACCCTCTGCCCACCACGCTTTACTGTGGTGAAACAAAGGAACGTCTCCAGAAGATTCCAAAATCGAAATTTCGAAAATAGAAAGGGTCGGGTCATAACTAATAAAAATTTCCGATTCGCCTGTCCAGGTTTCAGCTCAATCGGTTAACTTTGAATGGGTGAACCGTCACGCGACATACATCCTTACATACGGAATTTGGTGAATGTTATTAGTAATGATTGTATGTTTTCAGATTGAAAATTTTGAAAATTGCGATTTCGAATTTGAAGAATTCTTTAGATTATTGGAAAATTAGAATTTCCAACTATCTGAACGTCTGGAATTATGAGTTTTGGAAAAAAAAACTTGGGTCATGACCTATTGGGGTTCAAATCTAAAGGGGCGATTTTTGATGATTTTCATTCCAAAAATCTATTTAAAAAAAAACATGAAAAATTTCAAATTTTATTATACTGTATTTTTCAGACGATGATGTCTCGAAGAAAGTCAAAAAGTTCACCGTCAGTCGTCTATTATGTATTCCCCAAGAGTCAAAAACTATTGCAGAGAATGTCATCTTACATTCTTTGACAAAAAATGGCTCCATTTTACTAATATTCATTACGGATTTCGCCAACCACCAGTCAATCTCACCCAAGAAGAGTTTGAAAAAATGTCCAAATGGTCATTGAAGAAGAGGGTCTACACATGCCCTGTTTGCTTGGAGTACTACCCCAACATCAATCGCCTAGTGGACCACGTCCAGGATTCCCACCCCATCCAATGCCCGGAAAACCCCACGGCTTACACACACCCCTGGTCCTTCAAGAATGGGCAAGAATAGTCACCAAATATTATGGCTGGTATGTTCATTTTTGCACTCTTTTTTTCGCACATTACTCGCACAATTCGTTCATATTTCAGAAAAGCAATGAATTATGCCCAAAAATGTCACCGTCTATGTCCAAATGCTCTTCGATTATGCCCAGAAACCCTCCGATTATATACGCGATATTCTTCTTTTATCCTAACAAGTATTCCTTCTTTCATCCCAAATATTCCTTCTTTTTCACAATAAAAAACGATTTATTCACATAAAAATCACTTCGATTTCTTGGGAAAAAATACTATTGTAGTTTTTATGTTTGGGATATCAAAATAACCTAAAGTCATAATTTCAGACTAATGAAATCTATGAAAATAGGTGCTGAACGTTTTTTAATCACTGAAGATCCGAACTTTAAATTTTCGAAATATCTGAAAATCAGCATTTATTTCCAAAATTATTTCTAGAATTTCCAAATTTCAACATATCGGAAAATTGGAAATTCAAAATATCACAATAATAGAATTTTTCAATAGCCAAGTTTCCAGAATTTCACAGAAAACAAGAATTTTAGAAAAGTCTCTGGAAATCGGAACATTACAACAATCCAAAAATCTATGGTACACAGAATTTTATAACAGCGAAACATCTTAGAATCATAATGTTAAAATTTCAAAATATCTGAAAATCAGAATTCTATTCAAACTATCGACAACTCTGAAAATAAGCTTCAAGTTATTGAAATCGGAAAAAATTAATTCTCTCGATTCCTATGATAAATATCAAAATTTTTTCAACTGATAAAATAATGGTGTTATCATGCTGATCAATTTATTAATTGACACATTTTTGATATCTTTCAAAGTAACCGATATAGATTAGCTTAAAGTTAACAGCTTGCGTGGGCTTCAACATAATAGAGCAACTACGGTAACTCATGTTTTCGTGTTTGAATGTTGTCTTAAAAACAAGAATTTTAATAAAAATCATGTTTATTTAATTGATAGTCCAGAATCATAAAAAAAAACTCAAATAGAGGTTTGATTAAGTATATTCGAAGTGAAGATATGTTTCTGAAGAGAAAGGATGAAAGAGGAATAGAAGAAAACAATAGGGATGGAACACAAAAATGGATAACAATGAGAAGAACGGAATGTTTGAGCAAAAAGGAAGCTCACTTGTCTAGGAAGAGGAGCAAGGAAATGAGGAGAAAAGAAGAAGATGGAACAAAATAACCAGTCACAATCTATGGATAAATCTGTTCAACTTTTCAATTTCTTCACAAATTATCAAAAATTGATCCCAATTAATAATGGGGCCACCTCTGTTCAACTTCTCAAAATATTTTTTCTTTGTTTCTTGAAACATGGATAAGCGGTATCCAGCTGGCACCTTCTCCACAAGCTTCCTGATAGTTGCTGGTGGGACGATCTGGCAGAAGAACTCCATTACCTGGGCCTTCTGAAAAGAAAATATTGATTAATTTGAAAGCTACCCACTTCAAAGGAAAAAAGACACTTACCGACCACTGTAGATAATCCAGGGAACAGTTGAATGGAAGTGTCAGGGATTCCAAGTAGTTCAAACTTCTTTTATTCTCCACCATATCGGGTTCCCTCGCATATCCAATCTCTGCGAATCCCACAAGATTTCCAAGAAAAGGTTGGAGATCCTCGAAACTGGTCTGCACTCGGAGAATGGACACAGGCCCGACTGATCCTATATCCTGAGGCGTATTCAAATCAATAACATCGAAGACTATAAGTTGCTCAACATCCTCTTCCTCTTCTTCTTCTACATTCTCAATCGGCTCCTGCGTCTCTTGCTTTACTGGAACTTTCAGGTGTTCAACGTATTTGACGTCAACGTCGGGAATTTCTAGCTTAATGTTTACGGGAAATTGTTGATTGGCCACTGGTCCCTCCACTTGCTGGTCATGAAGTTGTTCGTTGTGTGAAGCATCCTGTAGATTTGCGAATCCGATGTCATCATTTTCGATTTCTGGCTCAACAGCTACTGGTTCTTCTTCTTGAGTATGAAGTTCTTTATCTATTGGAGCCTCCTGTGGGTTGTCAAATTCCATTTGATCATGTTGGAATTCCATCTGAACCGCTTCTTGAGGAACACCAGTTTGGACTCCTTGTTCATCTTCACCGATTTGACTGCTTGGTTCACTTTGATCTACCGACCCTTCTTCCATTCGGTCCCCCTCCTCTCCTTCCAATTTATCTCTAACCCTCTGCTGAAGTTCCTCAGTGATCATTTTACGCTCGCACAGATACGAAGCAAACTGGAAAAATAAATATTTTGAAATCAGCAACATTAACATTATCAACTCACATCATCTCCGTAAATATTCTCCGTTGTTTCAATTCGAAAAATGACATCTGCAAGAATTGCATTTTCGAATTCATACGAATTGAAAATCCTTTCGAAATTCGCCATTTCCTCCGGCAAAGCTGGGATTTCCTTATTGAAAAACGATCGTAAAACGGCCATTCTCTTTTTTCTGAACCATTCGGACATCTGAAAATAAAAACGAATTTTGGAACATGTCAAACACTGAAATAGTGAAATGAATACTTACAAATTTTGCTTGGCAACCAGTTTTCCTTCTCAGCTCTTTTTTCTCTCTTCCCAGAAACTGCTGCTCCTCAAAAATCTTTCCTAAAACCTGCTCGACTCGGTGATCATCTCTTGGGCTTCTATCATTCATCTGTCTGGGCTTGCTGTTCATGCTGGATTGATTTGACGAGCCGGGTCGATCTATATTAACGCTCCATAGAATGATTTTTGAGCCACCCTGATTAGGCGCATCCGTAGACTGGTAAATTGATAATTGGTCTTCTTTATCAGGATTTCGTAGACGATAAGGCTGCCGTGCGATTCTGCAGCGATCCGTTGATTTTTCCATTTGTTCTACGGGTCCCTCCATTTGCCCATGAAGATCTTCATCGATCGGAGTCTCTCTTGGATTGAGAACTGCTTGAACTCCTTGTTCTTCCTCACGTATTCGACGGTTTGATTCAAATAAGAGTTCTTCTCTAATCGTCACTTGCTGATCTACCAATTCTCGCTCTGCATCATTATCTTCTTCTTCCTCTCTGTCTTCCGACCGATCTTCCATCTCTTCCTCCGGTTCATCAGTGCTCTCAACCGCTTCATCCATCTCGTCGTCCGATTCTGGCTCATTTTGATCCCCTTCATTAGCGTTCTGTGCATCAAGCAATTCGTCTTCCTCTTCCTGTTCCACATTGCCATCTTTGGTCTCTCCCTGAAGCTCCTTTAACACTCTAAAGCGTTCTATAAAGTAGTCCGCTACCTAAAAAAAACTTTGATGTCGATAATTCAATTTTTCACTCACGTCATTGCTGCATACATCTTCTCTCATTCCAATCTCATAAATTTTATCGGCGTCCGTGTATGCTTCATACTTCTTGAAAAGTCTTTCGAAATTGGCCATTTCCTCTGGCAACACCGAAATTTCTTTTTTGAAAAATGATTTTAGAGTCACTTTCCTCTTCATTCTCAGCCAGTTCCGTATCTGTAAAAATTAATTTAAACATGTGAAAATAGTTCCAATACTTACCTTTTTCCAGGGGTGTCCCGTTTTCTCTTCCAACGCTTTGACCCGAAATCTAAAAAATTGCTTTTTTTGGAAAATTGTCTCCATGATGCCAACGAAGCCAGCAAGTTCCTGCTGCTGCTTCAACTTGCGTTGTCGAGTGAACCAATGATTGATCTGAAAGTTAGAATTAATAAAAATTAAAGTTCAACGATGCGAAACTTACTCTTCGGTACGACCACTGAATCTTTTGTGTCAACTCAGTGTTTTTGTAATCCGTAAATGCTGGATCCTTTGCGAAGATGTCCAGAAGTATTGGTTGAGCTTCTTCTTCCGGTAGTGGAAAGTCTTTAGTAGTATTTTTAGTACGTAGTGGAGAAGCAGCTTCATTTTCCTGTCTGTATTTTTCAAAGAACTCTTTTATCTGAAAATTATTTATTTAGCTTTTAAACCAAAAATAAATATCATACTTCATCTCTTGACCAGCCCGTCCTTTCTCTCAGTTCCACACTTTTGTAATTCCGAAATTTTGGGTTTTCCCTGATGAACTTCAAGAAAATTGGTTCCGCTTCTTGCCTAGAAAGAGTTTTAGACGGATTTTTGAACCTGTGCAACTGGAAGTATTGTTTGACCTGAAAATAATATTATGTGATTAAATACGACTCGGTTTGAAGAACTTACCTGAGTTCTGCTTAATTGAAGATCGGAGACTAAAGAAGCAATAATAGCTTCTTCTGGATTGCGGTTGACGGCGAAAGCTTGCTTCAACTTTTCTTTTTGCTCCACTGTGAAGAATGTCTAAAAACAATTAATTTAGATACTTTTATCTGTTATTAGAAAATAAGTTGTTACCTTTTTCTTCATTGGATTTTCTGACCATCTCTTACTCCCAAACCAGCGGTTTATCTGAAAAAAGAGCAATTTGCTAAATTTTGATTGATGTAATACCGTCAAACCTGTAATTTAAATTTGCTGAAATTCCAAATTTCAGATGAATAAAATCTCTGAAAACAGGTATTTTCGAAAAAGCCCCTCCAATACGTGCACTTTGAACGCCACCCGAATCGTCAAATTGGAACCTATTTATCTCATTTTCTGTGAGAGATATCAAAAAGTGGTTGACTAATAAAATTTTGCTGATATCATGATAAAAATTTTATTAGTTGACAACTTTTTGATATCTTTCAAGAGAAGTGAGATATATAGGCTCATAACGGACGGTCTGGGTAGAGTTCTATTAGAGTGTTTACGGTAAATTAGATTTTTAGAGAAATTCTGACAGAAATTCAAATTCTGACAGGAATTAGAATCTTGGGTTTTTTTAAAATAAAACTTGGTAGTTATTTTTTTGGAAAGCTTGAAAAGTTAATATAGACCTTCCAAGACCTTCCAATAAAACGTGAGAAGCGAAACGAACCGGTTTAAAAACTAGGTTGAATCACGCCGGAGGCGCACCAGCTTGCTGGTAAAATATAAATTGCTTACCTGGTTTTCGGTTAGCTTGGTCTCATCGGCTAACTTGTTCCGTTGATCTAATGATGGATAGGGATTTTCATTAAATGCCGCCAAGAGCACTTGAGTCTGCTCATCTGTTTTATTCACTTTGGTTCTCCTCTGAAAACTATTTTTTACACTTGCAGCAACTAAAAACTATTACATTCTTATCTGCGTTCTTTCTTCTTCGTTCTCGCTTTGAGCTACTCGGCTGACTTGGCTCCTTCGGTTGCTCATCTTCCGTTTCGTCCCCAAAATCCTGAAAACAGTTATTTGAAAATGTTTCATTTCATAAAAAATAAAATACCGAATATTCGGAGTCAGATTCTAGATCTGAAGATGACGAAGATGAAGAATCATATTTTCTAGAATCCTCGGTTCTGCGGATATTTCCAGATTGTCTCTTAATTGGACTGCCATCAAAATCAGAGTCACTCTCATTGTGAATCGCATATTTAGCAGATTTTCTTCTGGGTCTTGACTCCTAAAAAGAAATTTTTGAAAAACAAAGCATTTTCCAGGACTACTGTACATGAATATCCTTTTCAGACTCCGATTCTGAAGAATCCGCAAGTTTCCTTCTTTTTGGATTGAGTCCTTTGGATGTTGCAGTAGCAGGAGCCTTGCGAGTCCTTCTGCCAAGAGATGTCTGTAAAATAAGAATAATGAGTCTTCAAGACTCTTCGGAAAATGATAACTCACAGAAGAAACATTTTGAGACGACATAGTTTGTTCCTTGGTACACAAATCTGAAAAATAAAATGAATTGAGGGAAAATGTGTTGAATTAATTAATTCGAAAAGGGGGAACATTCAGAAAGACATTGAAACGAATCATGTTTGATATGAGCCTTTAAAACTTTTCTAGCGTTGTTTAGAGCCAATTTTGTCAATTTTTAAAGTTTAACAAATTTTGCAAAGGTTTAAAAAATCTGAAAACTGAGCTAGTCTAGTTTGGAAAACTAGAATAAGTCTGGAATTTTCTGAGACTTGTTTTTTTTTTTTGGATTTGGGAACATTTTCGGCCTCTAGTTGGTTATATTGGATTTTAAAGAAAATTTTGGATTTAAAAAATTGGATTTTACAGAAAAGTTTGAATTTTAATGTTTTTCAAGATTTTTAAAATTCCGATTTTTCATTTATTTGCCGATTTCAGAAGGGCACCTATTTTTGCAAAAAAAAATTGGAATTTCAAAAAATTTTGCATTTTAGGGGAGGTCAGAAAATTTTGGATTTTAATGTTTTTCAAAATCCAAAATCCAATATTTTTTTCAAAATCAAAAACAAAACAAACTAGAGCCAAATTTTCAACCATAGTTTCTGAGATACAGTACCAGAAACTAGGATATTACGAAAAAAAAAACGTATTTCTATGTTGATCTTTGCCCATTATAAATATTTTCAGAATTTTGGAGCCCGAGAAAATTTTGGAGGGTGTAAAACACACCAAAATTGAAAACTTTTCAACCTTATTATTTTTTCGATGTTTCTAGTCTTTCAGCTATTTGCCGATTTCTAAAAATAGCTTATTTTCACGTTTTCAGTACAAAAAAGGACCAAAAAGGGATTGTCTTTCAGGAATCGGCGAATGCCTGAAACTAGAAATTTTCAAAAACTTCCGAAAATTCAATGTTTTCAATCTAGGTCTGTTTCACACTCTCTAGTTTTAAAAGTGATTGGAGACTGGGCAGCCGCGCTCCAAACTCTTAAAAATGAACAAAATAGCCGGAAATCAACAGAAAAATACGTTTTTGTATACATATTGACCGCAAGTCCAAAAAGGAGGGTGGCAAAACACTAGCTGTCTGCGTCTCTACTCCAAAAACCATAATGGGGTTATTCAGGGAGTCGGCAAAAAAGGAAAAAAAACTCCGCGAAAACTCGGA